AAAATACCAATGGCAGCAGACTTTCTCCTCTCATTACTATTTTTTTTTTGAGGGGGGTACCGGGGATTGAACTCAGGGGCACTCAACCACTGAGCCACATCTCCAGCCCCTTTTTTTAGTATTTTAGAGACAGAGTCTCACTGAGTTGCTTAGCGCCTCACCGTTGCTGAGGCTGGCTTCKAACTTGCAATCCTCCTTCCCCAGCCTCCAGAGCTGCTGGGATTACAGGCGTGTGCCATTGGGCTGGACACTCATTAATCTCGTGTTATTTTCTGTTGATAACATTTATTAGTGCCTATTATGACTGGRCACTTGCACTAAGTTCTTTATGTACATTATCTCCTTTTAACTTCAAAATAGCCTTTATATATATGTATATATGTCTAATTATTATCTTCATTTTACAAATATGGAAACTGAGGATCAGAAAGTTAAGTGATTTGCTTAAGGCCTCACAGCTAACAGATGATCGAACCCCATCGCAAATTCATCTTCATTTGACCATAATTTCCTACTTAACATTTACAGTTAGCAATAAAAGGGAGGGGATTGTAATAGGAAAGTGGTGCATTGAGAGACTGGCAGTGCCAATTGGGGCCATATGGTTTTCAAAAACGTTTGCATATGTGTGTGAAGCTGGAGATTCATCTGGTCTTCTGACTTTTCACCTCAGCCTCTACCTATCTGTCTTTTTCCACCTGCCACATATGGTCTTTGCTGTCCCAGGTGGCACCTGCCTGCTGTTTTCAGGGGCCTGGGATGATTTTAATCCCCTTGCAAATTTAGCGAAAAAACGACTCTGTGTTACAGCTTTATCTCTGAACTCATTTGCGACCCAGAAAAGGGGTTTGCCCACCTTCTGGTGACTACCCAGACTCAGTTTGCTAAAGTGCTTTCTGACCTCATTTTCTCTCCCCAGTTGCTTGCAACACCAGCTGAAAAAGTTTCTAGGACAAAGCCACCTGGTCTGTGTGCTGGTGGTGGCAGGTGTGTTCTCGCTGATATGGGGTGAGTAAGACAGGAATGTGTGTGATTGGCACGATTCTTAACAATTAGGGAGAATGTCCAGCCCTGCAAGACCCAGGGAGGTAACATTTGTGTTGGGAAATAAAGTGAGAGGCAGAGGAAAAGAAAAGACAGAAAGTTTATGAAGAATCAGTGATGTGAGGAAAGGCTTTAGTCTTGCCCTTTGTATGGTTTTCCCCTGAACTGGATATTTGAGGAAGTGAGTGAGTTAGGGAGTTTTCTCCTAGAATCCACTCATAGCACCTGAAGGGTTCTGGAAGTAAAGCTGCAAAGTCAGGGCATTCTGGGCAGAATCGCTTATCTGAAATATGGCCACAGATCATTCGGGGGTAAATGAAACAAGCCAGAAATCAGAGTGCCAAGGATCATCTTGGGTGGTGCTTGATTAATAAAGGGTGAAGGAAGGACTGTAACGCAGAGTAGAAAGTGTTGAGTAATTTCCATCTCAATCACAGCTCACATTTATTGAACACTTAATATGAGCAAATGGATGCACTAAGAACTAATGGACGTGAATCATCTCATTTCTTCTTCAAACAACCCTCTGAGGTAGGTACTACTATTATCTTCAATTTACAGACGGAGAATTGGAGGCCCAGAAGCTTAAGTGACACACCTAAAGCATACAACCATGGAGGGGAAGAATCAGAATTTGAATTTTGACATTTCTCAAACCTAAGCCTGTAAATTCTTAACTTCTCTGCTTTACTGCCTGTCCTAATTCGCAAGTGTTATTAAAGTGTAACAGAGTGAGGAGGAAAAGCGATCAGCTATTCAGGAACTCATAATCTTTTCGAAGGTTTGCAAAGTTCTTCTGGCTCGACTATCTTATGGGGAGGAATAAGAACTGGTGGGATTAGCCCTATGAGGGTCCTCCACTGCCTGTTGATCTTACTTGTTGGTTTGAAATAATTGCATGCTGTAAAAACCTGCAGCCATTTCTCAAGTTTTCTTTTTACACAATCAGCTTAGGAGGGATTTAGACATGTAGGCACAATGGGCCATTTTTTTCTCTCTCTTGGGCTGGCACCATGAGGTGTGACTCTATTGGTTCCACCCTAGCATTCTGGCTGGCACAGGATGCATCAGAACTCTTTGAGCCAACAAAAAGATCTTGATGAGCTTGTTTTTCAGATGAGCCTAGGTGAGCAGAACAGACATTGGGTTTAAAAAGCTCATGCATAAAATGTTAAATGACTTTGTTCAGAGTGCCAGTTCATTGGTGAGTCTTTTGAAAGAGATATTTTACCAAATGGTACCCTGTGACAACAGGTTATTTATGCCCTCTTAGGGGCGAACTTTATACTTAGTATTATCCTGGCCTGGACTCATCATAGACTCAAGTTTAATAATAATACCTGTTACACTCTCCTGCAAAGGTTATCACTCCTTCTGTGTTTTGTAGAATGTTTTATGCACGCAGGGCACAATAAACAGTCAATAATAATATTTACTATGATAATGATCATCCAAACGCCTTTCATCTAAGTCTCTCAAAGTGCTTTGCAAACACTAATTAGTTAAGCTTCACAGTGGCTCTCTGTTTTTACCATACATTTTCCCATTTTACAGAATTTTAAATTGAGACCCAGAAACTTAAGCGGCTTGCCCAAAGACTTACAGCAAGGTTAAATTAATGTTAATGATGATGCTTTGCATCTACTCAGCCAATGTTCTCTAAGGTGATACAGTATGTTGCAAAGATAATTTTCATACTATCCTGGAGGAAGGTGTGCAGCAAGTATTGCTAGCTGTTGACTAGGTTGGGTTAACTGAGGCAAAGGGGGCGAGTAACTCAGGAGAATTTGACTGAGGTTACAAGTCCAATCCTGTGACTCGAAGCAGAGGGTGGCATCCAGGAACTTTTCAGTTCTCTTAACGGAAGGATACATGGTTGCTTTCACACTCACAGGAAAGATAGTTATATTTCTGGGAGTCCGACAGGTTGCAGAGCCACATTTATGTTTAGGAATGGGTTTGCTCATGTCCTTACTGAGAGAGGCAAAAGGGATAAGATGAGCAGTTCAAGAGAGAGCAGCTCAGAGAACGAAGGAAACCAGGGTGGTGGGGAGGCTGCCAGCTCTGCCCTTTCACAGGACATCTTTACTAACTAGGTCCTGCTCGAAGTAAGAGCCCTTCAAGGCTTGGTTCTGTTTCAGCCTTATGACAGGCCTTGGTCCAGAGTGGCTTGGAGGGCACTGGCACCTTAGTCTGAGGTTACAAGTCCCTGCAGAACAGTGCCAAGGACATCCCGTATCTTGATGGCTTTCTCTTATGTATAATCAGCTCTCGTCTTAATCCCCTGTGCCAGAAGGGCCCTGTGAATCCTGAGAGCTGTGCACCTACTCATTGCTACCATTTCTTAGCAACACAGCCACACACAAAAAGATGAAAACCTGAAGAAAGTATGTGAAGTTGATAAGGGACTTGCTTCCTCCCAGTCTGGCAACTTGTCCTTAGTGAGTATTGACACTCTTTTGCAAGGASGGGGAGGGACAGGTTGCTGGACCTTAGGAATTCAAGGGGAGATTTGCAGACCCAGAGATAGAGCCTTTTTCTCTATGAACAAGGCATGTTTGAGAAAAGTTTGCTCCCCTCCCCCACTTTGCCTTTGCAGGCCTCTAGATTCTGATTGATGACTAGACCAGGGCTAATGGAGACTTAAAGAGGAGTGCCAAGCCCTTTTCTGGAATGTGTTCACATACACACACACACACACAACAGCAATAAAATCTGCTGTGAAGAAATCACAACAAAGTCCAGCTTCTCCCTGCTCTCATTTTTGAATGTTCACATACACCCCTACCACATGTGTGGCTTAAAGGTACAGTGAACTGGAGAAGGGCTAAGCTTTTGGAAGGAAAATTTCAGAAAATTGTTCCAAATGTATAAGCTCTTCTCCTATGTGAGGAAGTCCTGTGCACACCCCCGCAACACMCTACTATTTGTCAGAGCAGTTTTGGGACCCTCCTTCCAGTATTAAAGCTTGTTTTAGGCAAGACTTCAAGGAATGCAGCTTTGATTTTCTAAGCATGCCAACAATCTAAGCCACAGCCTCTGTGTCCACTTTGGCACACTGACTCCAGGGGTGACAGTGCAAATAATCCTTCTGGACCCACAAGGACCATGTCCTTCTCTTGAGACATTCCCTTACATAGCATCCCACAACAAGGCTCACTGCCAGGTCAGATAAGGTTCTTGGGGTGTGTTTGCAGAGCTGGACAAAGGAATTTGCATTATCTAGACACAAAAAGCATTATTGGGTAATCTCCTCTGTGGTTTCACAGGGTCTGTTGTTTTTCTGTTGCAGCCCCTGACGCGTATTTTTTGCGTGTTTTATTCGTTTTGTAAAGTGAGACACATCTGCAGGGCTTCTACACACATCTGTTGAATTTCACAGCCCAATCTTCGCTATCAGTCAGTCCACCCACATAGACGCTTCGCTCTCAAATGATCTGGGGTGTCAAGTATCTTGATAGCTTCAAACAGATTATGAATGAGCAATGTCATAATAGAGCTTTATGACTAGGAATGGGAAGACAGATTTGGGTAAAATTCAAACAATATCTGACATTTGGAAACTTTTTAGAGATCTCAAAAACAACCAGCAGTTGGATTTGTTTTCTCTCTCTTTTCTCACCCTCTAGGCATTTCTCATGCACAGGTTTGGACTCACAGCGGCAGAAGTGAAAGGCCCAAAATATAATCTAAAAGGGGTTCCTTATTCTGATAGCTGTAAACAAGAAGTAAGGAGAATTTAGAAAACTTTGAAAGTTTTAAGGAATTTTCAGATGGATTAGGTAGGTTCTGGATTCCTTCAGGTCTCAGCAAAATGATAATTGTTCACGGAAACTTATCTCTAGGGAATTAATGGTGGCATTCCAAATGTCACTAAGAGAGGACTATCCCTGGCTCCKTATATACACACACAACCTCCAAGTGGACATGATATTAACAATTAAGATCTTTCTTACCCCGTCCATGTGGATTCTGATACTGGGCACAAGCCGGAAAGGGCTGGCCTGCAGACCTCTGGGGCTGGTCCTGCTTTTTCTGCCGTCCTGTGAGGTTAGCACGCCCAGCCTGCGGAAGGAGCCCACTCTCCCGGAGGTCTGCCCTGAACGCACGCCATCCAGAAGACGCACCAGCAGCAGGTTGGCCGGCAGCGCCTCGATGCTGCAAAACACCAGGGTCCTGCATTCTGGACACCTCAGCTCCTTGTGGGCCTTGAAAATCCTCTGTAGACATGGTTTGCAGAAGGTGTGCTGGCAAGGAAGGACTTTGGCTGTGACGTCGAGCTTTTCAAAACACACAGGGCACTCCAGAAGATCAAGTAAYGTCAAATCATCCATTTTATTTTAAAACTCCAGCCCCGACCTGAAGGAGCAGGGTCCACATCGTAGGGGCAGTTGAGCCAAGCTGGCAGAGCAGGGTCTCTTGAGAGCGTCAGAATTCCTGCCTGTTTAAAAAGGAAAGGAGGGAAAAAATGTGACTGCTCTGAGAGGTATATCCCACCTACATGGAGGCAGTGCCTCATAAGGCACTTTGCAAGTACTCTGTTCCGGAACCCAAGTTTCATATGAGTCATTCTGATTCAGTGCTAGCAGGTATAAAACTCCACTGGTGCCTGCTGCAAGAATCAGAGGGAACATTCAGCACAGCAACTGACTGCTCCTTGCCTCTGTGCGTTGGAGAACAGGGAGAGAAAACTGAGTTGCCCAAGGGGTTAGTCCTGCGCCTCTACCCTCCAGGGCAGGAAGGGGTCTTTTACCCCTGCCTGGTGGAAGCTCTGGAACAGTCAAATCTTAATTCTCAAATCAGAGCCCGGTCAGATTGTAATTTCTGCGACACTATCTATCAATAACTCCGTCTTTCCCTAGATTYAAGTTTGTGTGTTGTCTGCATCACGTGCAGATAAGTTTAAGTAGGTAAGTTTCTATGAAACCCATGCAGATGTAGAATCACGTCCTTCACAATCTATCTTCCTCCGCTATTTCGTCCTGGCAATATACAAGAAAAACTACTACAAACTAATGTGCAAGAATTGTTTTGCGTTAAGTACAGGCTAGGGTACTTGGAAGGGCTCCCCCCCCCCGCACCCCCCACCCCGTCCTCCTCCCCCCCACCCCAGCGCCTGATTGTTTTAGCCTCAGACACAATCTTCCTCCCACAAGGTAAAGTCGTGCAGCCTGTTTAGTTACTTCAACAATTGTTCTCAGTTTCAGCGGAAGCAGATAGGAATTCTGGATTGTGGTCACAACCTGTAAAAACCAAGGAGAAGCAGCATGTGCAGGTAGGGTGTGTGTGTGTGTGTGTGTGTGTGTGTGTGTGTGTGGTCCGAAAACAATCCTAGCTTCAGAAACAGTTCCCTTTTGGATATCTGAAACCAAGGCTCCAGATTAGAAAAGTCTCCTGGGACGAAGACAGCTGTTCCTCCGCGTGCCAAGGCTTGGGCGAGCGCCGCAGCCGGGAGGTTTGGCAGGAGGGTGGCCCCGCKTAAGCAGGGCAGACACGACCGGCGGGGATGAGAGATGGCGCCTCGCCTTCCCAGGACTCCTCTCCAAAGAYGTTAGCGCGCGCAGCGGGCGGGCGGGGAGGCGCTGGGGCCACTAACCTTGTGCCTCTAACCTCGGCGGAGTTCTGCTCAGCCCGTCTCCGGCTCCGCAGCTGCGCGCCCTCCAGCTGGCTTCCCTTCCCCAAGTGCGCGGCTGCCAGGGCTTTCAAAACTTTTAACAACTCAGAGTCCTACTCACTTCAAGGGATCGCCTTACCCGGCCCTGTTAACGCTTTCGCCGCCAGGCTGCTGCCTATCAGCTACGCTCTGCTGCTCATCTTTCTTTTATGTCTCTGAGTCGATTTCTGGGGAAGGATTATCAGAAGCAAAATAGAAGCCATCCCAGAAAGCCAAGTATTGACAAAGTTTGTATTTTCATTTTCCCTATTGTCTTTCCTATCCCAAGAAGTCGAAACCTGCTCAGTTATGAAGATGCCAAGATGCCTTTATAAGTTTTTCCTGAGAAGTTCAGACATTAATGGCAGCTACGATAAAAAGGATTAGCCAGACACATAGGAAAGACTGCTCCTTAAAGACCACCGCCAGTCCCTGAAGTTAGAAATAAGAGGGACTTCAGTGACCTTTGCCTCAATCTCTTTAATTTAAAAAGAAAAAAAAAGTAAGTGTACAATACACATACTTGAAATCAAAATACAGAAGTTTTTTTTTTTCTTTCATTTTTAACTAAGGAAAAGCAATTGTCCCAGTTCTTCTCCTGCCCTCTACCCACTATAGTCTTTTCATATCCCAGATAAGGTCTTATACTTCCATTTTTGATTTGTCAATAGTGCATCTCATGCAAAGTTACAGAGGATTCCAATTGAGTAAGTAAATAATAATAAAGTTACCTAACACAGGGATAGCCTTATCTGTGTCAAGCACTGTTCTAAATACCTTACCTGAATTCACCTGCTTAACCCTTTTAACAACCTAAGGATACACTAAACTCTTTACCTTCACTCTCCAGTTGAGGAAACCAAGACACAGAGAGAGAACTCATCCCCAGAGTCACCACAGCTAGCAGAAGGTGGTCTGTGCTCTTAACTGCTGTGATAGAATGATATAACTTCAGAGGAGAAGAGATGGTYCAAGGAAGCTAAACGTCATTTAGGATGGCAAGAAGTCAAAATATAATGACCAAAATTGACCAATCAACTCTTGCCAATGAGGCATCTCTGCCCAGAGAGATCAAGAGATTCTTTGAAGTTGTCTCATGAAGTTGTCTCGTGAGTTAAGGACAGAAATGGGGCTAAAAACTGATTGTCTTTTTAAAAATATATTTTCTGTTTCAAAATAAGTACCCATTTCTTTATTATTTGGAAAATACTCAGAGAGGTACGRGAAAAATCTTAAGAGGGGACCAAGAGGCCTGAAAACACTATTGTGGTTTTCTTATCTTTCAAAGTTCTTTCATGTCATCTCTGAAAAATCAAACATACATAAAGCTCAAAACAAGGGGGAACTTTGGGAAGGAGTGAATGAAATTATCTGTCTTCTGGCCACGGAGTCCTAATTTTCATGTCAATTTCAGACATAATTTTTAATTTATTTATTTTTTATTTATTTTTTATTATTTTATTGGTCGTTCATAACATTACATAGTTCTTAATACATCATATTACATGGTTTGATTCAAGTGGATTATGAACTCCCGCTTTTACCCCGTATACAAATTGCTGTTTAATTTATTTTTTAAACTCCCCTTTGAACTTCAAAAATATCCCATCCTGCTTACACCTGTAATCCCAGCTGCTGAGGCAGGAGGATCGCAAGTTTGAGGCAAGCCTAAGCAACTTAGTGAGACCCCATCTAAAATTTAAAACAAAACAAAACAAATCAAAACAAAACAAAACAAAAAGGGCTGAGGATATATCTCAGTTATAAAGCTCCTCTGAGTTCAATCCCTAGTACCCAAAAAGGAAAAAAAAAAAATCCCATCCCATTTCACTTTCCTGTATCCTTCAGTTAATTCAGTTAATTTCCTCTATCCTTCAGTTAATTCCCACTCTTGGTTCTGTGGCCATAAGCACATCTCTTATTGTTTGAGGCTTTGTCTTCTCCTTACTGTTTCCCACTTAGTAAAGCTGCTGTCCTCTGTTTGCATCCCTGCAATCCCCTCAACCCCAGAAAGGGCCACTCAATGCTAGAACTTCTGCTGCTGGAGTTGCCAACATCCTTCCTCCTTCCTTCTCTTATTCTTAAACATACTCTATCTCCCTGATATTCCACACCTRTACTTACATGAACACACATGCTTCCATAATGATGCACACACACATAATCTTAATAACAGTAACATATATCAAATACTAGCTGCATAGCCCAACTGCTAAGACTTTATTTTTTTCTTCTTCTCAAATCTATTTTATTTATTTATTTTAATTAGGTATATATGACATTTTGATTCATTGTACATAATCGCAGTACAACTRTTCATTTCTCTGATTATACATGATGTAGCATTGCACCATATGTGCAGTCAAACGTGTACCTAGGATAATAATGTCCAACTCATTCCACCATCTTTCCTGGCCCCATACCTCTTCCCCTCTTTTCCCTCCCTTTTGCCCAATCAAAATTCCTCCATTTTCCCCATGCCCACCCACCTATTATGGATCAGCATCCACTTATCTGAGAGAACATTCGGTCTTTGGTTTTTTTGGAATTGGCTTACTTCACTCAGCAAGATATTCTCCAACTCCATGCATTTACCTGCAAGTGCCATAATTTTATTCTCTTTTAATGCTGAGTAATATTCCATTGTGTATGTATATTACAGCTTCTTTATCCATTCATCTGTTGAAGGGCATCTAGRTTGCTTCCAYAGTTTAGTTATTGTGAAAAAAGCTGCAATAAACATTGATGTGGCTGCATTACTATAGTAAGCTGATTTTAAGTCCTTTGGATATAGTGGGATAGCTGGGTCAAATGGAGGTTCCATTCCAAGTTTTCTAAGGAATCTCCATACTGCTTTCCATATTGGTTGCACCGATTTGCAGTCCCACCAGCAATCTAAGAGTGTGCCTTTTCCCCCATATCCTCACCAACACTTATTGTTGTTTGTATTCTTGATAACTGCCATTCTGACTGGTGTGAGATGAAATCTTGGAGTAGTTTTGACTCCAAGATTGCATTTCTCTAATTACTAGAGTTGCTGAACATTTTTTTAAATATATTTGTTGATTGATTGTGTCTGTTCAGCTCCTTAGCCCATTTATTGATTGAGTTGTTTGTGTTTTGTTGTTAAGTTTTTTGAGTTCTTTATATATCCTGGAGATTAGTGCCATATCTGACGTGCATGTGGTGAAATTTTGCTACCAAAATGTAGGCTCTCTGTTTACCTCGTTGATTGTTCTTTTGCTGAGAAGAAGCTTTTTAGTTTGAGTCTATCCCATTTATTAATTCTTGATTTTATTTCTTTCACTTTAGGAGTCTTGTTAAGGAAGTCAGGGCCTAATCTAACATGAAGAAAATTTGGGCCCATTTTTTCCTCTCTTAGGTGCAGGGTCTGTGGTCTAATTACTAGGTCCCTGACCCACTTTGAGTTGAATTTTGTGCATGGTGAGAGATAAGGGTTTAGTTTCATTTTACTACATATGGATTTTCAGTTCTCCCAGTACCATTTGTTGAAGAGGCTATCTTTTCTCCAATGTATGCTTTTAGTGCCTTTGTCTAGTATGAGATAAATGTATTTATRTGGATTTGTCTCTGTGTCTTCTATTCCATACCATTGATCTACATGTTTATTTTGGTGCCAATACCATGCCATTTTTGTAGTATAAACTATAGCTTTGTAGTATAGTTTAAGTTCAGGTAGTAAGACTTGAAACAGATTATCTTATCGAATCCTCCCTAGCATCCCATAACTTCCCTAGGGTTTCAAATCTTGTAARCTCAGATTGGTCTAATCCCAGGACTGGGTTTCCTTACTGTGATTGCTTCTCATATTGTAAAGTCATATATATGCCATAAGTACATCTACATAGTTTCACTGTATACATCCATACTTTCACAYCAACTGATCCAAGGGCCAATCCAAGACAAGTTGATAAAGTCAAAAAAGGAGAATTGGGCTCCTCTGACCTATCCATCCATAGTCTATCCAACTTAATGGCTCCTTCAAGCCCCTGCATGATCAGTAGTCTCAAAAATCTTCAAACTCTTCTATCTCTTAGAAAATCCAATCAAACTARTTCAGTCCCAGGAAAGCAGGATAAATCCCGTGAGTTGCTCTYTCCTAGGATACTTGGCAATTGGAAATTCAGACCGATAAAATTGTGATGGGAGAATTTTGGGCACTAGTGAAGGACAGAAAATTTACACCGAAAGGGAGAAGGGTTCTTTTAGTGCCTCTCAAATCACACCTGTAGGTGGTCCCCAGTACCACCCACATATGAGGATAGTCTTGAGAAAACATTTTCTTTTGAAGTTTAGGAGAAGGAGGAGAGTTTTAAATGGGGATTACACCCCAGCTTAGCTGAATGCTAACTTGGCATCAAACTAGACAAATGTTTAGTCCTTAAAAATAAAAAGATGAACTCCACATGCTGTGCCAGACCCCCCTGTACCCACCCTGCCAATACTTCTATACATATTTGTACAGTTATGCAGTAGTTACAGGCTGCATGCTTTGTTTCTTTCTCTTTCTTTCTTTTTGAAATAACTTCTGTTTTATTTTGGAGGTACAAACCAAAGGCATTAGGAAAGAGAAAAAGGAAATGAGGCAGGGAAGATGGAAGGTAACACAAGACAATGCATTTCCAAGCTGGACACTGCTTCATGACAAGCCTTGAGGAGGCCCAGCAGGTGTGTACACTGGCTACTTGGGAATCTACCCATTGGCTGTTCTGTTAGGGAAGAGCAGTGCCTTGGAGCAATTCATGGAAGAGAGAGAAGAAGGCAGAATTGATCTGCATGTGTCTCTCTTACCTTCCCCTTTCCATTAGTCGAAATTTTATCCYGTGAGCATGAAATGCCCCATACTTCAAGATTGCTGGGACTACATGGATGCTGGACCCCATGCCCTGTGGTGGACATTCCATCTAAGTCTGGTAAGAGAAGACAGAAACTCTGGGCATATGGATGGTGAGTACCAAAGAGAATCTGATGCAATATATATGACATGTCCAACACAGGCCAGTACTGTCTTTCTCATTTTCCAGAAGAGGAAATGAGGTGTAGTGACCAAAGATCCTTCCCAAGGTCACCTGGCTCCTGAGTGGAAAGTTCAAGATTGGAACATAGTCTGGCTCTGMAAACTAAAAGACCAAACCTTATATTTTATGTAGCAGGCAAAAGAGACTCACTAAAAGGTTTCAAGCTGCAGAGTGACACGAGATAGAGAGCTTTGAGATAAAGCTCTCAATCTCTACTGTGCTCCGTCTTCCCATTGGGCTAAATGGCAAAAGTAGGTGTAMAGTAGGTGTCCCCAGAGAGGCCAGGGCATCCAAGTGTTTGAGAAAACTGATGAAGTCCAGAGCTTCATCTGGGCATTGGCATTGCCTCTTAGACTTTATCTTTATCTAAATCAAAGAGAAAAATGATTGGAGGCAGGAAAGATCTGGGTTGAAAGCCAAAATGAGAGGAAGGAGAGATGAACCTAAAGACCAGGARCAAGAGGACCATCTCTCTGTCCTGTGTTGGCCTGTGAGTCTGGGGATCCTGGTAACCGCTGATGAATCCTTTGGTGTTGGCGGTGATGGCCAGATTTCATGAACTGTCAGCCACATCGACCACATCTGTGTGGGGGATATCTGGTGTTCATCAGAAGGGAAAAAAGACCACACCCAGCCTTCCCTATTGCATCTGTACAACTTCTCACTTCATTTGCATTGTATCTGGGTACCTCTGAAGACACCAACAGGGTCCTTGACATCTCTGTGACCCCAGAAAAGCGTGACTGTCTGATGGGCCATGGTTCAGGGAGGTGTGCACTCCATTATTTCTACAAGACAGAGATATATCCAATAAGGAGATTGATATTATTATTGTCTTTGTACTCACAGAGTCTGACAAAGGCTCTAATAAATAAGTTTTTTTTTTCCCTGTCTTTTCCACTGACTTGCTAACTGTCTTTGATTCCTAGACTACAATACCTCTCCCTGAGAAGTTGCCTGGAACACTTGGACCCTCAGCCCCCAACACAGGTTCTAATGCCCACTGAATGCTAATCCCAGGCTGCAGTCTTTCGTAACACTGTGTGATATTTATGAGCTTCTGATGCTTCTGTTTACATGTTGATTTATGTATAAAAATAAAAAAGCAATTCTGATCATATTGTACCCCTATTCAAAATCCTTCAGGAAGCCGGGCATGGTGGCCCACCCCTGTAATCCCAGCAACTTGGGAGGCTGAGGCAGGTGAATTGCAAATTCAAGCCCATCCGCAGCAATTTAGCAAGACCCTGTCTACAGATAAAAAATAAAAAGGGCTGGGATGTGGCCCAGTGGTTAGGCATCCCTGGGTTCAATCCCTGGTACCAGAAATAAGCATACAAACAAACAACAAAACCCCCGAAATCCTCCAGTAAGTTCCCGTTTACCATAGGATAAAAATGTAAAATTTTTTTCTGACCTATTCGCCCCTGTATGTCCTGGAGTATCTGCCTCAACCTGCACTTCATCCTCCCCTCRCTCCCACTCCAGATGTGCTGCTTCTCTTCATTCTCAGGACACTTTAAGTTTTGCTGCCATAGGGTATTTGTTCATGCTCTTCTTCCTGCTTCCAACACACGTCCTAGTAACTGTTTTTATTTTCATCTCTTCTTAAGTACCCTTTTCTTCCCCCCTTTGCCTTTTTTACCCTTTTCTCTGCAAATCTGGGCTTAAATGTCTCTTCCTCAGGGAAGACCTCCTTGATTTTTCAGAAGTAAGAAGTTTGTCATCTCACCCTTCTCCTTCTTGACAGTTATCACTAATGTAATTCAATAACTTTATAATCTTTTATTTAATGCCCARCTCTCCAAATGGACTATAGGAGAGCAAGGCACTTATGTGTCTTTTCATCTGTCTGCATATCTAACACTGTGACTGGATTGTGGTGAATGTGCTTATGAATGCATGAATAGTGTTCTTAAATATTTGAGTGTGGGCAGATGTATATCAAATTGTTAGTAGTGGTTTTCTAATTTTGGTGCTGCTTTGAATGTCCTCAGCTCCACCTCTAACATAAGGTAAGTTTTACCAAATTTGGGTCTCTCCTCAAAACCCTGCCATGAACTAAAAAGTGCATGGATTATCATTGGGAACTTTATTTATTTATTTATTTATT